GTTTAGGGTTTTGGGGGTTTAGGCTTACGGATTGAAGGCCGTGGGCCCTCAGGGCTCAAAGAGTTTGAGGATGGAGTTTGGGGAGCTTTCGGGCCTCAGGGCTGTGCTTCGCCAGCTCCTTGCGGCATCTCTTTTGCCGTGGAGCTACAGATCTTCAACACCAACCCTAAACCCTCGCGAAGAGGGCCCCGAGGCCTCCTTAGGTAGTATTATGAAGGGTACCCGGGGTACCCCTTAAAGGGTACCCCTTCTGAACCTCTTAAAAGGGACCGTGTTGACAGGGTCTAGATCCGCAAGGGTCCCCCTAATCCTAGCTCCCACTCCCTGCATTCGAGCGAAACCCTCTGAAGGCTGAGGATGCCCCAAGCTCCACGATTTCCCCCTGCGGATGGTTGCACTCATCGTTCCCACACCCTGACCCTTAACCTTCAATACAACTCCTGAACGCTTATGCATATAAATATGTATAGTCTTGAATATATAACTCCTAGTTGAAGAAGCCCCTTTGCAAGATCTTGCAAGCTTAAGTCTTGGGCTATGGATCGGAAGTGTAGGACCCCCTTCCTGTACTACTCCAGCCTGGCGTTTGGGTGGCTTTTCGCAAGGTATCCACAAATTCGAACGGCAGTCGAGTCACAGATCTCCAGCGGCCGCAGGATGCCTGCGCAAGGACACGTAATGCAGCGTCCTTAATAATTAGAATACGGATTTGGGGGTCCTTTGTAGTATAATTATAATAAGGAACCCCTAAAATAATATATTATTATTCCGAAGGTGCAATGTCCGTCGCGAACGTACCGCATGCACGTGAATTCACGAAGTGAAACAAAGGAGGAGCGCGGGTCGCTTCGGCTGCGAAAGGCTCGTGTTAAGCCAATCGGCGAGAAGGCCCAGCGAGCTCCTGGGGCCTGCAAATCTAAGTAGACAGGGGCGGCCAAGCTCCGCAAGCGCGATGGCAAAGCCAAGCCACGACAGGAGGAGCCGTAACCATCTGGTGTGGCTGCGGATGTCCCGCTGAGGGCAAGTCGGTATAGCCCAGGCAAGGGAGGCAAGGAGACAGGACTCTGGTACATCGAGCGAAAGTCCAGCGAAGCTCGTGCCTGAGGGGGGAGCCCGCCAGAACTGGACACGTTGGATCTCCGGCTGGGACCCAGCAATGAACGCGAAGTCAGAAGTCCAGTGAGCCCGGTCTGTGAGGAACGGAAACTCCGCCCAGCCATCTGCAACAGGAAACCCCCGGAGAAGAGGCGTGAACTCCTCTGGAGCTGCAGTGTCACGCCGCGTCCTGGAAGCCGAGTCACACAGCAAATCAACCTGCAGGCAGAGAAGAACATCCGACGCCCAGTCAGCAAGCTGGCCTTCCCCAAGCTCAGAAATCCAGAGACTCAGGGTGCTGCGAAGGACGTGAAATGGCTCGATAGCGGCCTTGATACAGTCAAAGATCGCCGTGTCGGACTCGAAGTGCCCTTCACGGAGGGCCCTAAGGAGGGCTGCTGAGATATCAGGACCTGCAACAGGCACGAAGGTGAAATCCCCCCCCCCAGAAGAGACACTCTGCACGTGCCCAGGTTCCGAGTGATCAACCGGAAAGAGAGTGGGCAAATCCCGTTCAACTGCTTGGCAGCAGCGAACCGAATCAATGAGGTGTCGCTGATGCCGCCGCAGAGTCGCAAATTTGACTCCACACGCTCGGCAGGTCAAGCCCTGGGCAAAACGCCGCGACCGGGAACGGTATCCGTGCGACCGTGCGGCATGCGCAGACCAGGAGTGGAAGTCATAGAAAGCGATTGAGCAAAGCAAGCACGCATGCGTAGCAACCTCAACCGACAATGGAGCAACCGGGGCAGGCGACCAGTGTTGGCGGCAGAAGCACTGAAAGGTCGCCAGAGACTCCGTAGCCCCCACATGCCAAGTAGTAGCACGTTTGAGAAGCCCTTTGAAGCGCCGCGGCGTGGAGAAAACAGCAACCCACTCATCCCAGGTGTCGGCCAGTGCACGAAGACACGTAGTGGAGGAGCACGCTGCGACAAACCACTCAGCGGCAGAACGAAACGCCTCCAGGGCCCTCGGTGAATGCTGAAGGAGGGCGAACACGGCGTCAGGCCCCTTCCTAACAAGCTGCGCCAGGAAACGCAGACGATCCGCAGAGACAAGCCCAAAGAGATTGGGAAGTCCAACCCGCGCCAAGACCCGTTCAGTAGTCCAGTTCTGGGCCGCGGCAAGCGGAATCCTCAGCATGGCCCGGAGCATGGTAAAGTAACAGGACTCTAGAACTTTCCAGCTGGACCTGCATAGGCAAGGCCATGCACCACATCCTGATAGCATTGCCGAAAGGACATGTGACCGGAACAGAGCAACGCGCTTGTCAAGAGCAATATGAGGAGTGCAGAATACGGTAGCACGCCCTTCCTTAAACAATTGTTTGGCGTGCTGCACCCGTGCCTTTGCTTCCGGGATCATGGAGCCATTGAATGTCAGCACCGAACCAAGATGACGATACTGAGGAACCACGTCTAACATGATCGTGCCAACGTTTTCACAGAGCACAGGCAGCCGGCCTTTGGCGCGCGCGAAGACCGACTCCCTGGCATCTCTGGCACCCGGCCCGCGAGGAGCCAGCAGTACCGAGGTCTTTTTAGGCCCGATATTGGGTCGCAGACCATGACTCAAGAGCGTGTCGACCGAGACCCCGGCAACATGCCTGGCAGCTTGCGAAAGAGACAGAGCAGAAGGAGCAACAAGGCACGTAGCAAGATCATCAGCATAAATCACATCCTGAACAACTGAGATCGCTTGTCCGGCTCGGCGAGCGTCGTACGCCACAGGACGGCGGCTGCCGGACCAAGGGATCACGGGCTGAAGCCCCTGCTCAGAGAAATCGCCGCGTCTGGCCAAGACCCTCGCAAATAGGAGACTGAACACCACGTCCGCCCAGCTGGACCCTGGCCTGGTGCCTCGCCGTGTGTGCACCACGCGGTGGTCCTGTTGAAGGATGAACCAGGAGTCGGTATGGAACTCTTTGGCAAGAGAGGAGAGAAGCTCCCCACACCTGGCATCGGACAGAACGGGATCACAAGAGGAGTGATACTGGAGAGCCTGCAAATCGGCGTGCGTGAGGCCAAGCGAGCCGGCAATATCAGCAATAGAGCAAGAGTCAGCGTCAATGCCAGTCAGGGTCTCCCGCACAATGGCATAGTAGGCAGCAGCGAGATCGCAGAACAGAATGCCGGCCGACAAGTTCCTCTGTTGAGCGAAGTCAAGGAATAGACGGGTGCAGTAAAAGCCAATGCCGTGACTGAGCCCTGCGCGCCCACCGATTTGCAAGGGGAGCGCCCTTCGGTCAAGCTCGGCAGTAGCAACTGGACGAAGCACCTTGTGTAGCACTTTCTCAAGGGAACTCTGCACAAGGATACCCCTTTCAGAGCTACATAACCCCCGGTCTTTAGAACCTGGTTTAAGGATATGGAACAAGGTGCCACCCTTATACCCGACCGGTTCCGAACCATAACATAGCGTCTTCAAGAGCACGGGCCAGAAAACGGTAGCCAGTGGGGTCGGAAACCGCGCGCACAAAGCAGGTGGCAGCCCGTCAGGGCCAGTGGCCTTCATTGCACTGACCTCCCGAAAGGCGTCTCGCAGAGCCACGATACTGGGGATGCTAGCGCAGCACAAGCTTTCCCGTGCGGGAGTCGACGCCTGCCGGCTGAGGCACTGTGAGGCAAACGAGGCAACCTCGACACAGACTCCGCCCTCAAGCTCGGCAAAGTGTCGACGCCACTCCTCCTGTACCTGCTCGAAGGACTGGCAAACATTCCCATCCGGCCGTTTCAGAAAGGGGAGTGGCAATGGGCCGCCTCTGCGAAATTTACGAGGCCTGAGCAACCGCTTAAGCGCGATCTGCATATCGCCCGGCCGGGCATGGTCAACGTCCTTGGCCAGGCACTCGAGATAGACACGTTTATCGGCTCTGCATCGCTTTCGCAAGTCCCTGCCGAGGAGACCGATCTGTCTCCCAATGAGTGCAATCACAGTCTGTAGGGTCGCGGACCATTTTCCGGCGAGAAGAGCACCGAACTCGGACTCCCGCTCGCGCCAGGAAACAAATGCACACCTCAGATAGGATAGCCGCTGGGCTGCAAGGCGATCCCTCAATGCGTGCCGGAGCCTGGCAATCTGGGCATGAACAGCAGCAGTATCCTCCGAGAAGAAAGAACCGCGGAGGCGTTTGGCAGAGAGAGGGAACGCCTTTGCAAGCTCAACAAAGAGGTAATCCGACAGCACGGCAGCATGGTCATTAACATTGAGTGACCAAGGAAGCTCAGGGACACGGCCCAGGATCGCCTCTATCTTGCGGGCATTGCCGGGATTTCGCAAGGCAGCAGGGTCAATCCGGAGTTGCTTGTTCCGCTTGGGCTTTCCATGTCGAAAAGTGCAACAGACTACAGCTGCGAAATGATCGGCAGTGGCATGCCCGGCAGTAATGCCGGGGTCGACCCAGGCTTGCGTTTCACAGGCAGCCCAAGCCCAAGGGACCGCAATGAAGTCACAACGTTGCAGGCCCCCGGAGCTGCGCTGAAGCAGAGTTCCCCCTGGGCCCGACATACAACATGCAAATGTGGCAGGCAACCAGGAATGGACGGTATGCAGCAGCTCGTGCAAGTGCGAACCGGATATGTCCTCCAGGTCAGGTTGATGAGAGTCAACGAAGGGCGAGGTGACGGAGCCAATCCTGCAGTTGGCATCTAGCAGAAAAACCCAACCACCGGGGTTAATAACCTGCGAACATAGACGCGACGTTGTGCGCCACCAATCCGTGCGCACATCCTCCGGTTGCGCTCTGTGAGGGGCATGCCCGACAAGGATAGTGAGCGCAACTGAATCGGCCTCCAGACGCGCAACCAGGCGGCAAACATCCGAGTGCAAGACGGTAACTTGATGCCGCGGCCAGCCCTGCCCATTAGCGACCCAGAGTTCAACACCATAGCAGTTCCGTGTGTTGGCCCCTGAGCAGTATCGTGTGAAGGCCGGGCCGTTACAAGTGCCTGCAGGGGTTCTGGCTTCTTGTATACCGGCAATGAAAACCCGTCTTGCTTGAAGGGTCTGACTAAGAAGTGCAACCCGTCCTGTCGCTCCGTACAACCCGGGGCCTCTCCCCTCCGGCAACGAGTCCCCGGCGATCTCGCCTGGGAGGAGGGAAAGGGCATTGTATGAGACGAGTGTCCAGCGAAACACCCTTAGCTGAGAAACACAGGCAGCATCTTGGCTCGTTGGACGCAGGAAAGGGCGCATGAGCGCATCAGGCGGCAGACAGGATGCTGGTTCACAGGAATCCCAGGTCATCACCTCAGAAGTGCAGGCTGGAAGCTGTGAAGGTCTTGCAAGAGACAAGCACTTATGCGGTAGCCATTTGGCTGCAAGGGCCCCTCCAGTCAACCAAGGTGCAAGGTCTAAACCAAAGTCACCTAGATCCGTGCGCCCAGTCGCGGCGACAACCGCAAGCCCGTCCGCGAGCTCATTAGCAACATCTCCAGAATGGCCAAGCACATGCTGGTACGTGGAAGACCCGCGACCGCGGCAAGAAAGAGCAAGGTGCATACTGCGAGTGGCCTCACAGATAGGGTCTTGTGGGACACCGTACGACCCCTCGGCGCCCCAAAGCGCCGCCTGATTGTCACATCTGAACACGATCTGCCCAAAATAGGGCAGCCGAAAGGCAAGCACAGCAGCCAAGAGCAATCCTAAGGACTCTGCAACGTAAGCGTCAAACCCAGTGTCGACACCGCGGGCAAGCTCATCAGGACGCAACGTGGCGTACACGCAACCAATGAACTGATTCCGCCCTGACGGTTCATCAGCAAGGCTGACAACAACAGCACAGCCAGCCCGTCCCTCCGCCGCAGAGAACGAGCCGTTGGCAGTAAGAACGACAATCTCACAGGGATTCGGGGAACGCCCAAGCGCCCCTGCCGCGACCCACTCAGAAAATCTATGCGGCTGAGGGACTCCAGGTGGAATCCTAGCGAGACCACTGAATTGCACAGAACGCAATAGTCATGGCAAAGATGCTCGGTACAGGGCAAGAGGCACTGACCGCCATCAAGCCGGAACACGTCTGGGCCAGTGCTTGGCCGGGGCTCAGCATGCGGCACAAGGCGGTCAAGCAGGAGCACAGTCTTGACATGATCCGATCGAGCAGCCTCGTGCTCAACGCAGATGACACCAAAGTGCTCAAACAGGGTTTCAACGAGTATGCAAGCCTCAAAGAAGGCAGCTTCAGGGTCGGACCTTCGTGCCTGTTCAAGGAGAGTGTCAAGCGACTCCCCCGCGAGCCAAGACATGCTATCATTGTCCTCCTCACAAAGAGGGGGAACAAAGAAGCCTCCTCGGCAAGGAGTGGGAACAGCACGAGGCCACCGCAATTCATTGCGCCGGGTAGTGGAGACAGGATCAGCACCAACTCCGAAAGAGCATGTAGGTGGCATTGTGGCATCAACACCACGGCCAGTGACAGCGTGCACTTCCGCATGGTCAAGTCTGCTCAAGTCAAACACCTGTACCCCTTCAGCAGGTTGCGAGAAGGAAAGGAAGAGGAGGCCAAATCCAATAAGCCCAATAGATATATGGCGAGGGACGAGAGCACTTCGACCCCAAGCATTTGCAGGTACACGCAACTCCCTTCTGGCACGGCAAAGAACAGACCTGAGGGAACGCGAAAAGGAACGAACAGAGCGAGGAAGTATCGTCCATGGGAGGACAGAGGTGAGGAGAGGGTTGTCTTCAGGAAAGGCGTGCGCACAGAGACCCCCTCCCCACTTGGCTACTCGACCAAGAGGCGTAACTTCACAAGCGACCTGCAGAATACCAGAAATACACATGGCTGCTCGACCCTCCCCAGCATGTTGGCTGGAGGAACCTGCATCCGTTGACCCGAGTCCAGACGGGATTCCGGCAGAAAAACTTGGGCCGGCAAGAGGACCAGTACGGTCATCTGGGGCCTGCATATCGCCGTCATCCCCATCATCCCCCTCAGGTTGGTCATCGTCATCGTCAGGCCCTGGAGGCGGTTCGATGCCTCGGTACCAGCGAGGAGCAAACTCGATAGTGAGGGTCTGGCCGGCGTGAACGCGACGAGAGTGATTCTCCAGCCCGGGTACCGAAGTCCCCCCCATGCAGGCGGATACAGTGTCCGGGTGGACATCTGCGCAACTGCCTATCACATATCTCTGTCACATCCACAATGCCGTCGGGCGCAGAGGCCCGCGAGATCCCCAGAAGGATGGGGCGCAAATCCAAAATAAAGAGAACCCGGCCCGAATCGGGGGTGCGAACAGCGAGAAAGACCTGTTTGGAGGCAAGGCCACGATGCGAATGGTTCCTGATCGGAGGCCATGCAGGCATAAAGGTCAGCGAGGTAGGAGTGATACCGAGGTATCGGGCCACAACAACCACATCGGGGTGCGTGGGGGGCGGCGAGCAGTGAATCGCTGGTGGAGCTGATCGGTGAGCAGCCAAACCCCATCCTCAGCTGGTCTGGGGAAGACTGGGTCATCATGCCAGCCCACAGGCGTCTGAAACATCTGCTCGAGGTCCAACGGTGGTGCAAGAGCATGTTCCATCGCGCAAATGGAAATTAGGTCACCAGGCTGGACAAAAATGCGCGCCTCAGCCGGCACAGCCCAGGGGACATCCTTAACGAATATCTGCGTCTGGGCATCTTCCGGAATCCCGACCAGACGATAGACATCTCCAACGGAGAGGCTGGCCGGAACGAATTCCACAAAGATTCGCACAGGGCTGTGGTAGCATACAAACAGCACTGGTATGCCGGCAGCAGGCCACGCCGGAATGGCCAGTACACACGCAAATGAGAAAGGGGGCTGTACCTGGACCGGGAGCATTTGAGGAAAGAGATGCGCCCTTTCCGCTTCCCTCTCCCTGGCGACGAGGGGAAGAATGTCTGCAGTCGTGGATGGAAGCCTAGCCGCAACAGAAACAATCTCTTCCTGATATTCAGGAGAGAGAATAAGGAAGTGCATGGTGGTAGCTTCCTGATCCAAGCAGGGCCCAGTGGCAAAGTCGAGCTCCTCAGAGTCCTCAGGTATGCTACCCCACATGTCCCCACGCCATGCGCCCAATTCAAGGCGTCGATCAGGAGGAGCCTGCTGTGCAACTGGCAGGGACGAGGAGCTGGAGGCAGCCGAGGACAAAGCCAGACGTTGCGGAACATAACCAAGCCTGAAAACCTGGCCTGGCACAGTCCTTTGGAGGCCCGTCTGCTCATCCTGATCCAAAACAGCAACCTGCCAGCCTCGCGGGGCATCGAAACTTTGGAGCAAGGCATCAAGATCAAGCCGTCCTCTTAAAGCATGATGCGATCGCCAGCGCTGCCCTAGGGCACGGCAGTCCAGGAGAACCAAGTGACCGCGAAGCCCTCCATCAGCGTTGGATTCAGCCACCGCAATTACGTTCCGGCACGGTGTGCCCTCAATGGCAACATCAGTCTGTCGAGGGTATGCCGCGAAAAGTCGAAGCCTGTGTATGTGAATCTGGAGCGCCTCTGCAATGCTACTCCTGTACCTGATATGCTCCTCGGGATTGATCAGGTGTAAGCCGCAGTGGTCATGGGTCACAAGGCAGTAGGCACTGTCGACGGACGGAGCGGGCACCTCAGCATCTGGTGTCACAACCACCCGCCTCAGAAGCATTTGACCTAGAACAGGCAGTGACGGGGGAGGGTACGCTGCCGGGAGGAAGCAAATAAGGGCACCCGGAAAAACATGAACCGGCTACTCCGTTGTCAGCAACAGCTCATCGTGCACAAGCCAAATATCCACGTCGAGCGAGTGCGGAAGGCCCGCGATTTGGACAAGTTCATGTCTGCAGACATAATCTGGGATAGATGCGGTGAAGAGGCGCCGATCCAAGAGAGATGTATCGAGGCAAACACCATGGCAAGTGCGATCCCAGTTCGGTGCCGCCAAGAAAACAGCAGTACCCGGGCGCGGCTGCGGCAGGATAGAAAGCAAAGAGGGAAAGACATTACGGATAGAGGGGCATCGGGCAGCTTGCAGGGCCACCACTAACTCCTCTTCAGTGCACGGGACCTGAATAGCAACGGTGGCGTTTTCCGTGCGAAAGCCCTCTTTAAGCACCGCGCAGTGAATCCACTGAGTGCTCACTGTCGGAGCCGGATGCATCGGAGTCGACAATGCCCCCTAGATCCAGGAAGGGGGGGAGGCTAGGCAGCCATTGTCCTCCTAAGGCATGCGTGATGGAACGCAGCTCACTGAGATGTCTGCCTTCAGCCTGGTTGCGACCCTGCGGCTCTTGGAGATATTTGCATGCGCGGCCAGCTGGGACGGGACCAGCAATGGGCTTTTTACAGTTGAGCCGAAACCGCCCGGTGCAGACACTCACAGCAATGTCAGCAGGGACACCGAGGGACCCAAGCACGGGAAGGCCAAGGCTCCAGAAGGGGGCCCAGCCCAAACAGCAGAGTTGAGAGACAGGGCGCCAGCCCGTTAAGGAAAAGGCAGCAGTACCAATCCCCTCCACACGGCGGCAGATCTGCGCTATCGGACCAACTTCGTCTCTGCTCACCCAAGGCTGAACCGTATGCAGATATCCTCGCAGGGATAGCCAGGCAGGCGCAGAGAGGAATTTGCCAACAGCACGGCGTGTGAGGTCAAGCAGGGCAAGTGAAGTACTTCGAAGATCCGTTGTTTAGTA